CTGACGACAGGCCCGTGTCAAGTGCAGACAGGCCACACGGGAGGCAGAGACCGACCGCCGGCAGGTGGACGCTGCTCCGCCAGCGGCGTCCGCGACTAGGCCAGGCCACACATCAGCAACGACAGCGTGCGCGGCCAGGCCGGGCCACACATCAGCAACAACAGCGTCCGCGGCCAGGCCGGGCCACACAACAGCAACAACAGCGTCCGCGGCCAGGCCGGGCCGCACATCAGCAACGACAGCGTCCGCGGCCAGGCCAGGCCACACATCAGCAACAGCAGCGTCCGCGGCCAGGCCGGGCCACACAACAGCAACAACAGCGTCCGTGACCAGGCCAGACCACACATCAGCAACAACAGCGTGCGCGGCCAGGCCAGGCCGCACATCAGCAACAACAGCGTGCGCGGTCAGGCCACACATCAGCAACAACAGCGTCCGCGACCAAGCCATGCCACACATCAGCAACAACAGCATCCGCGGCCAGGCCAGGCTGCACATCAGCAACAACAGCGTCCGCGGCCAAGCTAGACCACACAACAGCAAAAGGCCACGTAACGAGGTGCAGTAACCGCAGGCTGGCCCGAGGCTGGCTTCAGACATGGGCGGACCGTGCAGCCGCCATCAGCAGTCGTCGACTGCTTCTTCACGTGGGAGCGTGTTGTGGGCCCGCTGGGCTGTGCAGACCCATAGTTGGCGGGCTCGCGCGCCCCGCATGGCGGGAATGCCGGCATGCTGTGTGTCGGTGGTAGTGAGGTCGTGAGAACTTAAGAACTGGCGGAAGTTTCAGGCAGCTAGACAACTTCGGCAATGCCCTCCCCCCCCCTCCCCGAGAACAGGAGCACAGGCTATGACACGATTCCGATAAGCCAGCACGTAGCAGACTAAGAGGGGATTATTGTATTTTAATGGACGAGTCGAAGTTGTGCTTTTTGTGTTACGATGAAGCAGAAGCTCTTTGACAGGGAAAAATATATACAGTATATACATATATATGTATATATATATACATATATGTATACATAAGCATATACACACACACACACATATGTATATATATATATATATATATATATATATATATATATATATACGCTTCATCACTTCACACTAGCGAAGCACGACTCATAAGTGCTAATGCCAAGGTAACTACTCAAACCGATTTGGCACCATTAGCTCTAATATTTTGGCGATGGTTCAAGGCTCGGGACGAATAGTGACCTCTGACGTGGCAACAGCCTCCAAATGTCATCCGAAGCGCCACATCTGGGATTTAAAATGCATTTAGATGCATTTTGCATGCATCGTCGAAGATGCATGTAACGTCGAAAGCCGTTGATTGCCAGATTCTCTTTTCACCAACCTACGCCGGAGTCAGCTCCTTGACCAAGGCGTCTACGTTATATTTTTGGTATACCTCTCTCCAATCCGGCGCACAATTTTACTGCATCTCCGCTCTTGCAATATAAATGAAACAATCAGAACTGAGCATTCCGAACGCCGCGCTAGCTCGCTCGCCACGGCGTTCCCGAGCACGACAAAACGGACTGGGTACATCCACACAGTAAGCGCAAGTTAAGACGTCCCAAGTAGTAAACTTCGTGAGGGGGTTAAGAGCACATGCGCCATATACCACGAACTGGCAGCCATTGTATACAGTTGACGTTAAGCTTGATAAAGCACGGTCTATGGCTACGGACGGATGAGGTAAAGCGCCATATACCCGTCATAATTTGCAGGACGTTATGGGCAACAACTTGCACCTGATGGCTTCCACTGAAATGCTACAATATCGTTTGTGGATCACATAAAGAAGGCAATTCTTACGATTAGTTGTGTGTGGTATGTGCGTTTATATACGTTTTTTAAAATAGTCAAGATGGCTATGTCAAGACGGACTATCTCAGACAAGACAAGATAGATAGACAAGATGGACTATGTCAAGATAGTGGGCCGTTGTCTGTAATTCCAAATGAGCTGCATCAATGGCAAGTCAATTTCAACACGTAGCATGACTTTCAAATAATCTTATCTCCGTGACCATTAGCTTCAGCTCAATCCTAGGTCACCAAAACTCGTTCGTATCAGCAGGCTAAGCTATTGTTATGGCTACTGGCTGAGCTTCAGTCTGGGCTTATGTTATTGTACAGACTTATTCAGCCACAGCCGAGCTACTTAAGCTGCAGTAGCATAATTGGTAATAGGGCATGCTTCAGCGCTGTGGCAATGGCCTTGTGAAAAATATGCAACAAAATGGTCGTTCTGGTGTCAACCACATTTTTTGGAGGATCTAGCAAACCAAAAACATTGAAATGCTTGATTAAAAATCGCTGTTTATTTCATATACTGTTGCAATTTTGTGACCACTCTACAAGCCCTGTCTCAAACTGGACTCTTTTTGTGGCTGATATAATACGCTAATTCTCAGGACAAGCGATGTTCACTCGAGCTTGATGTTTTTTGACGGGACGCAACGGATATTTAAACAAAATTACACCACTACCGCACGAGTACAGCGCCACGATTGGTGAAGTATGCACCTATCCCTAGCAAACGTTACCGCTGAGTGCTGCATGCATGTCAGGGTACTTAGCTACCGTCCAGAGTAGCAGCGTTCCCATCCGTTCAGAGAAGCAGCACTGCCCTTTGGATGGGCTTCACATCACGGCTAATAAAATTGCACCGCATCGCAAAGGTGGCCAGGAAAACTGAGCAAGCAGTTCACGCTCCCTCGCACAATCATGCACCGACTGAAGACTCAATCTGCCCTTTCTCCTTAATCACGGTCTTTAACCACACGTGTGACAGCGGCGGCGGCTGGTAGGCGGCGCCCGAGATTTCCCGATACATTCGGGCCCGGGACCCATTTGCCGGACTATTTGGCACTAATTAAAAACACATTTGCCGGCCGACCATTACACGGGCCGGCACTGCTTTTGTACACAACGGATTGTGGCGATAGCGCGATAGCATCTGGCCGGTCTTGTGTCCGGTAATGGCGGCGCTGAAACAAGGCGCTGATGAGCGCCTCGCCGTGTAATTACGAGCGTGCCGGCCGCTGAGGGCGCGCGCTCGCCGCCGCCGAGCCCATGTAGCCGCACCAATAAAATTGCTAATGCCATTTTTCGTCGCCGCTTGCAGGCAGCAGGCAGCGACTGACGATAGGCAGTGATGCACGACGTACAAAGCTAATAAACCACCGTTTGACTGTTTGACTGTCGGCGCGCGACAACCCGGATCGGCTGCGGTGTGCGGACTGCTGCGCTGTGTCGCCGATCGGAAGAACTCGTCCGCGGTGTTGCAAGACTAAGTCTGCTGTGCTGTAGTACCGTGTCCGCTGTGACCACGCATGTTGGGCTGAACCATGCATCCGCTGTGTTACATTTTTTGCTTGCTTTGTCCCTGCGCTTGTCGTTTTCTTTATAGTTAGGGTTGCCTGCAAAGCAGTGCTGGTCTATGGCCTAGCTTGCTGAAGCATTGATATGTTATTATGAGTGTTTGCCTTCTGCGTTACAGCCCTAGTATGTTATTGCTAGCCTAAGTCCGCTGCATCGAATCGCTGGGCTGCTGTTTTGCAGTGCTGATGCGGTGCGTGCATGCCTGGGCTTCTGTGTCGAGGTTTTGTTATTTTATGTTCGACAGCATTTTTGGTCGGCGCTGTTAAAGTGATATTCCACTGTGCCACATCCCCGCTCTGTTAAAGCTGCAGTGTCCGTCCGCTTCGCGGCAATGCTGGTCTGCCGTGTTGCAGTCTTGGTATGCTACTGTGCTTGGTGTGCTTTTGCTTGGATGCTTTGCCCCGTTGAATTGCTAACGCGCTGTTTTGAAGTACTGGTCCATTGCTCACATTGCTGGTCTCCTATGCTGAAGAAACGTGATCCTATGTTGCAGCGTTAGCCTGGCACTTTGCAGCACTGCGTGCTCACCATTAACGTTTCTCGGTCTGCAGTGCTGAAGTGGCGACCCGTTGCAGCACTGTGTGCTCACCATTAACGTTTCTCGGTCTGCAGTGCTGAAGTGGTGACCCGTTGCAGCACTGTGTGCTCACCATTAACGTTTCTCGGTCTGCAGTGCTGAAGTGGTGACCCGTTGCAGCACTGCGTGCTCACCATTAACGTTTCTCGGTCTGCAGTGCTGAAGTGGTGACCCGTTGCAGCACTGTGTGCTCGCCATTAACGTTTCTCGGTCTGCAGCGCTCAAGTGGTGACCCACTGTGGTCACCATCCCTGCATCCCTGCTCTGCCATGTTCCATTGTTTGTCCGCTGTGTGACTGCACTGGTCTGCTGCGCTGCCCCGCCCTCCTGCTGTGCTGCAGCGTCAGGTCGCTGTGTGACTGCACTGGTCTGCTGTGCTGCCCCGTCCTCCTGCTGTGCTGCAGCGCCAGGTCGCTGTGTGACTGCACCAGTCTGCTGTGCTGCCCCGCCCTCCTGCTGTGCTGCAGCGTCAGGTCGCTGTGTGACAGTGCTGGTTTGTTGCGCTGCTCCGCCCTCCTGCTGCGTTGCGAGCGCTGCAGTGCCGACCGGCGCCGCAACAGGCTCCAGTCGATATGTTCCTGTGCACCACCGCAGTCACCCGTGGGTTCGTTTGTGTGTGCGTGTGTGTGGATGCTGTCGTGGTACACATTCACATGAGCCCCGCTGCCCACACGCGATGGACCCGCTCCAAATTAATGGTGAATCAGTAATGTCCCTGTCGACGGGGCATTATTTCTCGAATCGCCTATCAGAACGCTAATTACCAGCGCCTGGAATGTTCGTGGCCCAAAGCCAGGTCCATGTCTCTATAATCTATAGCCACTTGTCAAACGAATTTAATGGCATCAGGTGGCAAATGCCACTAACCGATCAAACACGTCATTAATCAATAGAAAGCCAGTTTTTAGGGCCACAAAACATCCAAAACAAATTCCATGTGTCCATGCGTAAACATGGAGCTTAAACAATTGAGTTCAACCAAGCTTGCGATGAAGATGTATTTTAAAATATCTAAAACATAACAAACACTACACGCCATATAAAAATAATGGTAATATTTACAGTAAACATCGGCAAATATCACTAATGAACCAACTAGGTAGATCAAAACCCGCAACGGTTTCGACGGAGTATTTCTAAGACTACCATCTTGTGTCTCAGATACATTGATATGGAGATAACCTCCTGCGCAACACACGTTTATGGTATTGCCTTTTCTAGCATTGCAACGTCACACATGATCATTGCCACTGTCATAGCTTTCCCAGTCGCGGAAAGCGTCGAATGGTTGGCACTTTCTCCAGGCGACTGCAGGGAGATCATTTGAAGTCACTCTCTGTCGCGACGCGGCGCCGCTGCGATCACAGATTTGAAAGGGTGGGATCGAGTCCAGCCCAGTCGCTCGGCGGCTGCGGCGCTACACCACCAGGTGTCGCTTCATATGCAGCGCCAAGTGGTCCGAGCGCGAGAAGGCCCGCTCGCACAGCCGGCACTGGAACGGCCGGTCGCCCGTGTGCTTGCGGTAGTGGCGCGTGAGCTCGTCCGAGCGCGCGAACTTCCAGCCGCAGCCCTTCCACGTGCACTGGTACGGCTTCTCGCCCGTGTGCGTCCGGTGGTGCGCCTTCAGGTGCGAGGACTTGATGTACGTCTTAGTGCAGCCCGGGTGGGTACACGTGTGGATAACCACCTTCCGCTTGGCTCGCGGCCGGCGGCGGCGCGGCTTGGTCGGCCCGGTCGTGCCGGGCAGCGGCACCGGGCCGCCGCCGCCGGCGGCGCCGCCCATGAAGTGCGGGTACGCACCGTTCACCAGCCCACCAGGCAGCGCGTAGCCGCTCGGGTCCACGCCGCCGTGGCAGCCGAGGTTGTTGTTGACGCTGTACCGGTACCACTCGCGGTACTGGAACGTGGCGGTCGCCTCGATCGTCAGCTGCGAGGCGGCCATCGGGTCGTAGCCGCAGTCTCCGTAATATTGGCGGCCAGCCATGGCGTACATGCCGGCCGGGTCGGGCTCGCCGGGAGCGCAGTAGTAGCCGGCGGCGGTCGTCTCATTCTTGGCGTCTCCGCCGTAGGTGGGGCAGAGCGGGCCGGCGGCGGCGGGCGTGGCGCCCTCCTGTTTCACGCCGCCGTACTCCTGCTTGACGGCCGAGTACGGCGTACCCGTCTTGTGCACGCCGTAGAAGCCGTCGGCCGGCCGGCTGGCAGGGGGCGTGATCGGGTCGTACGGCACCTCCGAACCCGGCACGGCCATGTGTCCCAGGTAGTGCTGCTGCTGCTGCTGCTGTTGCTGCTGTTGCTGCTGCTGTTGTTGTTGCTGCTGCTGTTGCTGTTGCTGTTGCTGTTGCTGCTGTTGCTGTTGCTGCTGATGCTGCCCAAGGGCGCTCTGGTACCCGCCGAATTCTGCCGGCAGCGGCTGCTGCATGTGGCCGGGATGTGCGGCAGCGGCGGCGGCGGCAGCGGCGGCAGCGGCGGCAGCGGCAGCCCCGCAGCCGGCAGGGAAGCAGCCGGCGGCGGCGGCGGCCGGCAGCCTGGCCTCGGCCAGCTCAGTGCCAGCCGCCGGGTACTCGTACTCGGCTGGCGGCATGTAGAGCGAGTGGCCACTCTTCTGCAGCACGTTATCAATATCGTGCCATACCTGCGGCGGAGACAAGGCCCCGGGTCAGAGGCGGCGGCGCAAACGCCGGGATGAACGCGGGAGGAATGAGGGCCTCCTCTCTAAACATGCTCAACAGTGTAGTCAGCTCCATCCCCATTACCAGTGGCGATATGCGGCATGTCGTGAGCGCGTGCCGGGACCGGCCGGCTCCAGAAGCGCCCACATGCCGGTTGATCATGGGTCCAGCCCGCGCGCGCCGGGCCCACCCGCGCATAGTTGGTTATTCCGCTCGCACGCCACAATCCCGACGGAGCAGCGGCGCCGGTCCGGAGCCGGACACGCCGCGGCACTGACGCAGATAAATGGATGCGGGCAGCCGCCGCCACCGGCCCAACGGACGGCGTGACAAACCGTCACGTCTGGGCGGGATTACGCCGAATTCCACGGATCCGTATGCGTGCTGGCCGCATACAGGCCTTCCAAACGGAGGATGACTTCATCCTCGCAAGGGAGAGGGACGGGGACTTCAATGCGGTTAGTTTTTCCTGAACCACGTGGTCATGGTCAGCATCATGGGGCTGCCATTGGCGTGTCCACTTCGCGCATATACGGTGTTGTCATGTCTTACGATGAGGATAAAGAGTAAGTTGATGCTCGGGACATAGTTTGTTAAGAAAACATCAAACTTGTAAAACAATCTCAATCAGTTTTGCATATTATAATTATTGAATTGTCTTGGGAGACTATTGCGGAAGGAGACCGGTCTCTTACTGATCTTTTACCACAATTTCACAAAAATTATTTGAGCGGGCGAGTGAATATCCACGCGCTGGAAATATTTATCTGTCGCCTACACAAATGATGTTTTGCACACCATAAAAGTGCAAACAGGGACTGTTATTGAAGCGAGTGTTCCACCGCTTGAGGTATGTTTCAAAAACATGCTCTGTTGAAACCTCAGGTCAATCATGTCTAAAAGACCAATTCAGAATCAAAACCCACCTCTAGCAACAACAAATGCCACTGGGCTAAACGTCATAACACGTAGCTAAACACTAAGCGCACTTCAACACGCCAAGCATGCGGTTTTCAAAATAATTGTCCTGGAAATGCTCTATTAAAAGGCAAATTGACCTAATTTCATTATCTTAGATAGCATAAAATGTCATAGGTCGTGGACTTTCAGCTTACCGACTTATAAGTAAAGCATGTCCATAGGCTGGCCGGCCAAGCGGTGCGTGTCACGCCGCCCGCCCTCTTATCTCCGGCTGCAAGGAGCGGCCTCGCTCACCAGGTGATGAGCTAACCATACTTGGACAGGCACGTTGGAGACCACGTGAGGCGCGGACAAAACCCACACCATGTGGTCGGCTTTCTTTAGGTTACAGGCGTCGGCTAGTTTCCGAAAACGCTACTCTTGGTTGCGCATTTTTTCAAACATAAATGTTGATGCAGTTTGTGCCCGGGATGATGGCGCATTTAAGCTCGCGCAGATGCACATCCGGCCTTTTTTAATTCCCCCTTTACTCGTTTTTGCTATCCTTGTCTTCTAATTATTCCATTGCCTTCGGGAGCCCGGGTCAAAGGTTTCGTGTTGCTTTGCCGAGATCCGTGGCTTTAAATCTGAGACGTTAATGGAGCTTTCGAGGATGGAAATTACCGGCGCGTGCCTCCTCCCTGCCGTTGTGAGCTCGAACACTGGGCGGCGCAGTTAGCATATTTGTTCTTAGAGACGCAGCGCCGGCGTCGAATCGCCGTGCATCGGTAAATACGGAGAGCCACCATCAGCACGGTCCTGTCGCCGGATAATAATCATAAAAGCGCGTTTTAAATTCTTCTAATCACTATTTGGCTGTCGGCGGGTGGATGGTTCTCGGTGGGCCGGGCGGCGCCACCCCGGCCGGCCGGGCCGGTCGCCAGTAATGACGCCGCGCCGGCCGCGCTGTGCCGCAGCCGCAAAAACAGCGCCGGCTCCGACACCGAGCGGCGGCCGGGCACCGTATTAATCACGGCCTGGTGCGCGTGCGGCGGCGCTGCAGCGTGCCTACAATTCGCCGTACGTGTCGGCGCTGAATGGCGACCGATGCGGCCGACGGCGCCGCCGCCGCGCCGGATGCGCTGCGGCCGCCGCTTTCAGTCGCATTCGCCGCGCCCAGTCCGCGCCGTAATCGTATTACAGCGCGCGCGCGCCCGCACACCTGTCACATTCCCGAGCGGCGAGCGGCGCTGCTTGCTCTGGCGTGGCCACTCTGGCAAAATATTTGTCTTTCTGTCGGTGCTGTTGTCGCGAGCGGCGCGTGACAGGGTGGCACGAGCCCGCGCGCGCGCTGCCAGTCAAAATAAACCGGCGCCCTGTGGCAACCGTCCAGCCAGCCATTTTTGTCACACGGTCCGCAAGGGTTTAATGCGATGTGAGAAGGTTTTTGTGCCGTGCGACAAACGTGTTCTTGATACGTTAACGGCAAGCGTGCCAGCCTCCATACAGGCGCATGCTTTGAGCCCCAGTCTCTGCTCGTGTTTGAACAAGCCCCGTATAATCGGCGCCGTTAGTGCCTGTTGGCGGTGAACACATCACGGACGATTTACGTAGTCTGCCGGACCAAGCATGCTTTGAGATGAGGCTAGCCAGGGAATCGGTCATAATCATTTGAATAAATTTGCATTCCATATTTTGTCCATAAAGCTGATATTCAGTACCGGTTGTCAGATTATCTACACATGTCACGCTCTGCAAACCCCATGCCAAGCGGCAAAATGTATGTTAATGTACATTTACATGTGTTCGCCAGAATATATCAAAATAGGACGGAATTCCTGCATCACTTAGAGCTGGACATCCTGCGTTGGTGAGCGCATTTGCTTTTTGTCTATTCTGCTTTCTTTGACACTGGGCTCAACTGTCCCGATACCATGAGCGTTTTCCTTCTTGGCAGTTTAAAGTACAGCGCAGTGCTCGGGACAGCCCACATTCTGGAAGCAGCCCTTACATGACGAGTTTGGGTTGCGTCACGCTACTGCATGGGTTGTTGTCGCGTCTTCTCTCGACCTGACCTGTCCGTAGCTGAGCGGCATACATTTCCCTGTGAAACGACTTCCCGCAGATTCGGGAGGTCTCTGGGCCAGTCACATTAAGAATATATCAACCAACTGAAAAATTGTTTCCACCGAGCAAACAGTTCATCACGAAGATCATCAGCCCCTTTCGTGTTATCAGGGGACGAATTCCGTGAAATTTATGCAGATGGCCGGCGACCTGTGACCTCTGCCGGCGGTGCCCAATCGCTGCTGCGCCGCCAACGGGCAGCCGGCCAGACTAAATCGCATAGTAATCAAACCCCGCCGACAATAAAAAGCGACAGCACGGCGGCGCGGCGGGCCATAGGTGAAATATGGCCAAGTCTTGCGATTTCACGGCGCCGAAGCCCGCGGACGCGTCGTCCGGTCCGGGGCGCGGCCGGCGCGGCCGCGTGCAAATCAGGCCGTCAGTGATGAGGCCGTAACCGAGCGGCGCGCACGTGAGCCCTCCCTCCGGCCGGCGTATCTGTGCCGCATCTGAATCCGATTACAGATTGATCTCGCTCCTATCTCCCGCCGTCGTTCGCGCCACCGCTCGTGTAAATGGTGGTGCTACCACTTTATTGGGGTGGCTCGGTGTGCGAGGCGAGCGCTGTGTTGCAATCCATCCACGAGACTCGTAATCGGCCGCGTCTGCGTAACGCGAGACCCCTGCCCGGTAATGGTGGCCACTGAGCTACGTCTCACTCGTGGCGCGTGGCGGAAGATTGATCCTGGCGACCGCAGCCGCGCGCCAGTCGAGCGAGGATATCCTGTGTTTTAGGAGCCGCGCCTGCTAAGTTTAACTGATGGTCACTGTTCGCTACCAGCGCCATCTTTATTATCGGATATGTGACAAAGCTGGCTTTATGTCGGATGCTTAAGGCGGCGTGTGTAGAATGCATATTTTCACACCTTTATATCTTAACCACGGATTACGTTTGAAGGTGCTGATGGCTCTTCACTGCTGGCCGTGCATCACATCAAACCGCACGAAATTGGTGCTGTCTCAATAAGGCAAGTCTGCACACACTCAAGACAAATTGTGATTTCTTGGATAATTGAGTGTTGGTTGGAAATACGCTGCGCATGATACATATTGACTGGTATATCCGCAATCACCGCATAATAAGCACGTGCATAGTAACCACAGGATACAGATTGATTGGTCTATACATCACATGGATTGAAGTCAGATGTCAGATGCCCTGCACAAATCTTAAGACCAACTAAAGCAAAATTTTGACCATTTTTTCTGTCTTATTTGAACACGAATTATCTGACCACATATGGTCAGCTTAGCAGCTCTCATTGGTATTCAGCCCATGAGGATAAAATATAAAAAACGTGGCAGTACAGGACGATATCAATCTGTTAACAAATCTAGCATGTTTCGCATTTACCCCTAAGAAATGGTAACAGGTGCAAGCGTAGTTATACGCCAAGTACAATCGAGGGGTAACACGTGTGATGCGCACAAAACACGTAAAAATCGAGAGGCACTGCGTGACTGGCTTCATGATTTGCTAACACACTCATTGCTTACAAACTGAACAGCAACGGCCGTAGCTCCTTAACCCTCGCCCTGATTCGACGTTTTTCATAACGCGCGGACTGATAACATGTGTATGTGGGGGGGGGGGGGCTGATGCAGCCCCCCGTGGCGTTTCCAAAATAGTCAAAGTAAAGCGTAACGGTAAACACCAGTGGATTGCTTTGAGAGAGATCTCACGACCTATGCTAGTTTTTATGTTGTTTGGACAACACTTGAC